TCATGCCATTTTTTTTAACAGCTGAATAACAGTCTATTGTGTAAATATACCACACTTTATCCATTCTTCTGTTGATGAACACCTAGTTTGTTTCCAGTTTCTGGTTATTATGAATAAAGCTTCAATGAAAATGCTTGAGCAAGTGTCCTTGTAGTAGGCTGGAGAGTCCTTTGGGTCTATCCTAAGAATGGTATAGTTGGATCTTGAGGCAGATCAATTTCCAACTATCTGAGAAGCTGACATATTGATTACCATAGTGTCGTCCAAGTTTGCACTCCCACCAGCAATGGAGGAGTGTTCTCCTTGCTCCACATCTTTACCAGCATGAGCTATTACTTGCATTTTTGATTTTAGCCATTGTGACAAGTATAAGATGAAATCTCAAAGTAGTTTTGAATTGCATTTCCCTGGTGGCTCAGGCTGTTGAACATTTCTCATTTCTCAGCCATTTGAGATTCCTCTATTGAGAAATGTTTAGATCTATACACCATTTTTAATTGGATTTGGTTTTTTTTGATATCTGGTTCCTTGAGTTCTTTATATATTTTGGGTATTAGTCCTCTATTGGATGTGGAGTTGCTAAAATTATGGAGTGAGTGGACAAGCTTGTTTTGTTCCTGATTTTAGTGGAATTGCTTTGAGTTTTTCTCCACTTAATTTGATGTTAGCTATTGGCTTGATACAAATTGCCTTTATTATGTTGAGGTATGTCTCGTTTATTCCTATCTCTCTAGGACTTTATCATGAAGGGGTGTTAGACTTTGTCTAAGTTCTTTTCTGCATTTAATGAGGTGATCATGTATTTTTTTTTGTTTATATAGATTACATTTACTGATTTCATATACTAAATCATCCCTACATCTCTAGCATAAAGCCTACGTGATTATGGTGGATGATCTTTCAGATGTGTTCTTTAATTCAGTTTTAAAGTATTTTATTGAGTATTTTTACATCTGTGTTCATGAGGGAGACTGGTCTGTAATTCTCCTTTGTTTTTGGATCTTTATGTGGTTTGGTATCCAGGTGACTGTGGTCTCATAAAATGTGGTCATGTCCCTTCTGTTTCTCTTTTGTGGAATAACATGAGGAGTATTGGTGTTAACTCTTCTTTGAAAGTCTGATTGAGTTCTGTGTTAAAACCATCTGGCCCTGGGCTTTTTTATTTATTTATTTATTTATTTTTTTGGTTGGGAGAGTTTAATGACTGCTTCTATTTCACTGGGGGTTATAATTCTATATGGTGGTATTTTGTTTGTACTGAAATGTGATTTTATTTGTATGTTAATAAATAAAGTTGCTTGGGGGTCAGAGCTAATAGTAAGCCATAGGAGAGCTGGGCGTTCATGGTGCATGCCTTTAATCCCAGCACTTGGTAGAAGAGCTAGGTAGATCTCTGTGTGGTCAAGGATACAGCCAGCATTGGAGACACACGCCTTTAATCTCAATACCATAAAAGACCTGGAGGGCTGTACATACAGGCAGTGACGAGGCAGTCATGTGTTTGAGTTTACAACCAATAAGAAGGCAGAACAGAAAGGCTATATAAAGACAAACACACAGGAAGTAGGTCTCTTTCAGAGAGGTCTCTTGGCTGAATAGGCTAGCTGCAGCAGGCAGTAAGGCTCTTAGCTCTGATCTCTTGGCTTTCTTCTTTGCATTGGTTCTGTGTTTCTTACTTAATAAGATGGTTGGTTACATCTACAGGTCTATTTAAATTGTTTATCTGATCTTGATTTAATTTTGGTAAGTGGTACCTATGGAGAAAACTATCTTTCTCTTTGATTTTCCAATTTAGTGAAGTACAGTTTTTTAAAGTATGTCCTCATGATTCTCTGGATTTCCTCAGTGTCTATTTTTAAGTCCCCCTTTTTATTTTTGATTTTGTTAATTTGGATATTCTCTCTCCACCTGACTAAAAAATAAGTTTGGATAAGGGTTTATCTGGTTGATTTTTTCAAAGAACCAACTCTTTGTTTCATTGATTCTTTGTATTGTTCTCTTTGTTTCTATTTTATTGATTTCAACCCTGTTTGATTATTTCTTACTCTCTACTCCTCTTGGGTATGGTTACTTCTTTTTGTTCGAATGCTGTGACCCTTTAATATAGTTCCTCATGTTGTGATGACCCCCAACCATAAAATTACTTTTGTTGCTACTTCATAACTGTAATTTTGCTACTGCTTTTCACTTCCAAATGCCTTTAACTCAGTCAACATGCCAGACTGGTATAATTTTAACTCCTTTACTAACATTTAAAACCATAGTAAAAGAAAGTATAATACCATAGTTTTGGCTACTTGGTCTTTCAATAAACAACAAACATTTAGAATTTGTTGTTCCCAACTCAGTTTATTGACGTGAACTAGGAATGAAACTCAGGTTGTCTGCAAGAGCAGCAAGCTCTCTCAGCCACTGAGTCGTCTCTCTAGCACCCATACTAGATTCCTGTGACTAAATTTAGTTTACTATGTTTGAGTTAATTATTCCAGAGACATGTGAAGTTGGTGTCTTGATTGGTTTTGTTTTTTGTCAACTTGACACAAGCTCGAGTTATCTGAGAAGAGGAACTTCAGTTGAGAAACACCTCTGTGATGGCCTTTCGGCAGGTCAGTAGGGCGTTTTCTTGATTAATGATTGATGTGGAAAGGCCTGGCCTGCTGGGTACAATGCCAACCCTGAGCAGGTGGTCCTGAGTTGTATGAGAGAAGGCTGAGCAGCATTCCTCCAGGGCCTCTGCTTAGTTCCTGTCTCCAGGTTCTTGCCTTGAATTCCTGCCCTTACCAGATGATGAGTGATGGAGTATGACCTGAGAAGTAAGCGGAAATAAACCCTTTCCTCCCCAAGTTACTTTCCATCATGGTGTTTATGATAGCAATAGAAAAGAAACTGAAACAGTTGGGAAGATGGGAAACTAAGTTTTGTTTAATGTTCATGTGGGTAACTGGCAAACTTTACCACTAGGAACAATATTCATGGACCTATAAACACACGTATTCACAACCACATTTTAGCATAGAGTTTGAAGTGCCTGACAGAGAAACTAGAGAGGGGACTGACTTCTGCCATTCTCACATAGCTGCAGACAATAGTGGTCAATGATAGCAAAAAGATATAGTGCACCCCAGGAATGTGGCTTGAGGTTGTGGGAATGACAGCTAGAGTACCTGTAGGAAATGATGCCATCCTAGCAAAATCATACCTTTTCTTTAAAAATTAGTCAGCTTTGGGGCTGTAGAGATGGATCAGTGGTTAAAAGCACTGGTTGCTCTTCCAGATGACCCACGTTCAATTTCCAGCACCCACATGGCAGCTCAAAAATGTCTGTAACTCCAGTTCCAGGGGTTACAACATCCTCACAAAGATATACATGCAGGGAAAACACTGATGCACATAAAAAAATATACAAATAAACTTAAAAAATTAGTCAACTTTGATTATCTGCAAGAGAAAGGATAGAAATAGTAAAAAAATAAATTAATCCAACATGTCATTAGGATGGCTCAAAGATTATGAACTCAAAACTTTTTAGGCCAGTAGCAAACTGAAAAATGTAATTTTCACCTCCTTCCTGCTCTCATGTTCCTGGAAAGATGAATTTAACTCATATTATCATAGACATCTATGGTTATAAACTATGTATCATCTGCTAGTGGCAGGTGTCGAGGACAAGGAGGGGCCTTTCATGCTCACAACTTACAGTGCTGTCACTTTATAGGTGCTGGGAGAAGATGGGTGGGACTTGGGGTCAGAGACAAAGGATAGCATATTACAGCCACAGGAGACAGAGTATCAGTGCCCCCCCCCAATGTATTCCCTGAGCCACATTTCCATATTTCCATGTGGCACTGTGGAAAGAAAGGGCTAGGTACCACCTGCACTCTCTTTGCAATGTTTTTGAGGAAGCCTGAGCTCATGGAGCTCAAATCTGAACAAGCCGTAGCCTCCATGGCTGTGGCAAGGGCCACCAGTTCCTCATTGCAAGGATCCATGATGGAGAAATGTCTGTTTCAGTAGGTCTGACAGGAACTTTTGCTTTACACATATTTTATTAGTAATATAAATTAGTAATGTAAATAAGACCAGGAGAAGAAATTTTTTTGTAAAGATTTATTTTATTATATATTTATGGGTGTTTGGCTCACACCACATGTCTGTGCAGGTCAGAAGAGGGCACTAGATTCCCTGGAATTGGAGTTATGGACAGCCATGAGCCACCATGTGGGTGCTGGGAATTGAATCTGGGTCCTCTGCAAGAATAAATGCTCTTTACTGCTGAGCCATCTCTACAGCCCCCTGTTGTAGAATATTATTTTAAGATGGGTTACATTTGTTTATGCTGTTGAACATTTGTTTAATGATACAAAGATGTGTTGCATTCTTTTATGCTGCATTTGTTTAACTCTGTGAAGTTGTGTTACTTTGCCTGTCTAAAACACTTGATGGTCTAATAAAGAGCTGAACAGCCAATGGCTAGGCAGGAGAAAGGACAGGCGGGGCTGGCAGGCAGAGAGAATAAACAGAGTGAGAAATGTGGGAGGAGAAGAAGGAGGAGCAAGAGAACAAGGAGAGGAGGACACTAGGGGCCAGCCACACAGCCACACAGCCAGCCTCAGAATAAGAGTGAAAGTAAGATTTACAGAAGTAAGAAAAGGAAAAAGCCCAGAGGCAAAAGGTAGATGAGATAATTTAAGTAAAGATGGAAAGAAACAAGTCAAACTAAGACTGGGCATTTATAATTAAGAATAAGCCTACATGTTTGATTTATTTGGGAGCTGGGTGGTGGGACCTACAAAAGAGAAAAGAGAAAAAAAAAAAAAAACAAAACAACCCAACAACATTTTGGCACCCAATGTGGGGCTAGAGTAAAAGAAAATCCAACAACAGGCCCCAAAGGAGGAAAGTTTTACAAGATGAGGGAAAACAAGACTTAAATGTTCTACCTCTGATGCTCCAAATGATGTCTAGTTTCTGACACTTAAGAAGTACACACATTATGAAAATAAGTGGTTGAGGACTTTTATTTAGGGTCACTTTGCTACTGTTCTGCTGTGCTGCACGTACCATCTTTCTTTCTATTAAAATCCATACATGGAGATTTGTATTGAATCAGGGCAATATAAAAGATATGATGGAGTTTCTAGTGATTTACACCAAACCAAAATGAACCATTCTGAGAGAACCAACATCTCCAGTGTCCTGAAAGTAAACAGATAAAAATAATTAAACCATGTTCAAACAGAGTAAAACACCAATTTAACATTCATCTTTATTATTTTCAAGTATTTCAAAACAGTGAAATGAAATAAAAATGTGCTGAGCTTATGTAAATGGACCTTCTTGTTTACCTTACTCAGTGACTACAATGTTCATAGCTATTTATAACAATCAATCCATAACTAACGCATGAGGCATAAAAGGGTGGTGGCAGAGAACAGGGTGAGGCTGTGGAGCATCTGTGGACTCTAGAAACAGTCGTCATTTGTGACTCTGCCTCAATGTGCTTTCAAGGTGCCTAGAACATGCACTTCTTGTTCTCTTTGGTGTATGTGTGTGGGGTGTGTGTATGTGGTGTGCACACATCTTCATGTGCATGAAGAGGTCTGAAGTTGGCAGCAGGTGCTTTCCCCAAGTGTTCCCCACTGTCATTATTGAAGCAGGGTCTCTCACTGATCGCACAGCTTGCCAAATCTGGCTAATGCATTAGCAAGCTGTCCAGCTTGCCCCTGGGACCCCTCTCATTGCCTCCCAAGTAGTGAGATGATATGTGACCATCACACCCGCCTGGCTTTTTTTGTTGTTTCTGAGTATCACCACATTTGCTGGCCAAGTACTTTATCCACCGAGTCATCTCCCCAGACCTAATGTGTCCTTCCAAATCTTGTTTAATTGTGACTTTTAAAGTAATAGGCCATAAACAGTAAAGGTTATATCCCTTTTTGTTTTATGAATCTACAGAGAAACACCATGAGAATCTCATCTTTCTTCCACTAGTTTTTTTTTTTTTTTCATGACTCTCCTCCAACCTTACTAGCTACAGAGCAACAAGGTTTCACGACAGAATTCTGAGAGTAAAGGTGTTTGAAGGTAAGATAAGGATGGGCAATCGTTCTTGGAAATAAACAGTGGGAGAAATTTTTGTAAAACGTCACAGGCTACTTGCTATTGAAGTGACAAAAACAAGAAGTCAGGGGAATTGGACTGGAGCGCTCACCAGCTCCTGCCATAATCGAAGAATTGTTCTTAAATCCCAGGTGGAAACCATTTATTTTAAAATAATTTTTGAGGTAGAGATATTTAAAAATAGTTTTCGGGTGTCGTACAGCTTAGTGGTGGAATGTTTGCTTAGCATTTGCTAAGAGCACCATGAATGGGAGCGGTTAAGTTCTATATTAAAGTCCTTCCGACTAAGGAAAGCTTTTCATAGACTCCGCATTAACACTTGGCTCCTGGAAGGCCAGGTTGCTTCCCTAAGAAGCTCTGTGTGCTTTAGCTGTTCCTTCCATCCTTCCCTTCCCTTCCCCTTTTCTCTGTCTCCTTTCTTCCTTCCTCCCTAATTCCCTGGCCCCTCCCCCATCTACTTCTCTTTCCTTCCAGTGATGCCAGGGTTTCCTTAAAAATATATTTTTTTCTTCTTCTGAAGTTCTTGCTTTAAAATCCATCTGGTTCTTAAAAACTTTACTTTAGGCCAGTGGTTCTCAATGCTATGGCCCTTTAATACATGTTGTAGTGACCCCCAACCATAAAATTATTTTCATTGCTACTTCATAACTGTAATTTGCTTCTGTTATGAGTCATAATGTAAATATCTGTGCTCTTCAGTGGTCTTAGGCCACCCTGTGAAGGGGTTGTTCAACTCCTAAAGGGTTGCAACCCACAGGTTGAGAACCACTGCTTTGAGACATTGATTGGTACCTGTTTTACCTTAGGCAGATATATTGAAGATTAACAAAGTAAGATATTTTATATTTGATCATTTCACATTATTAAAAGTAAGGCATACTCATTAAATACAATTTAGAAAATATAAATATATGGTTAACATACATTTGCTTTCAGTATTTTTCTATAGATGTTTTAATAAATGAAATTATTTTAAACACACACACACATATTGTCATGTTGGGGATTGAACCCAGGGTCTTGTTAATGCTTGGGAAATACTCTAGGACTAAGCCATATCATCAGCTGGGATTTGGATACATAATCTTTGATTTTAACGTCTGAGTTTTATTCCATTACATACTATTGCTTAACTACTCCTTTTAAATTAAATCTATATGGTTTCTGATTTCTTTTTCTAAATAACCCTGTGATGGATGTTCTTAGGCAGGGACCCTTCCTGTGTTTACTATTACTTCTTACTCTAGAAACACCCTGAGAAGAAGGACTTTTGGCTTAAGGTTGATGTTGTTTTAGCCCCCTCTCAACCTAGCCCCCCCCCCCCGCCCCCCTGATAAAAACTGGAGACTTGGTGGTTTTGCTTTGTTTCTTTCCTTTTGGTTACAGAAGCTGCAGTTGCAGCAAGGCTGACCTCGACTTTATTGTGTGCTGACACTGCTAATCCTTGACTGAATCAAAGTGCATGTTATTTCTTGCAGTAATTTACAGCAACAGAAGAGTGTACTGGGTTTCCCAACTGATTTCTACGTATGATTAAGTACCTGCCAAGCACTATGGCTGTCACCCAGTGTGGGGGAGACCACGTCACTTTCCCTTCCATGCACTCAGACTTTGCTAAGTAGACTTAACAGCACGTTAAGAGCTGCTTTGCTGCAGCTGGATTTGGACCTACTGTCACTTGAGGGAGTAATTTTCCTTGCATGATCTGGTCATTTATGTTAGATTTCCTCTGTGTTACCAGTGGTTCTCATTGCGTTTGCTTTAACAAGCACCAGTTTCCAGGAGGAGCAAGTCTGGAGCCCAAGGATAAAATGATAAGCATGGTTTTGGACAGGTGTTAGGTCTGGGATATTATCTAGTCAGACTTACGCATTCTCCTTCTTGCACCTACGTTAGTTGTTTGGGAAACACTAAGTGATTTCACGCTTGTTCGTAACAGCAAGACAGTGAGCAAACTAGCCATATGGCCTTAAGAAAGTTAGTTAGTGTGGCAGGGAACCACCCATAGTCCCTGCTGGCCTCAAACTCACTCACTGTGTAGCCAAGGCTGGTCTTAAACTTCTGTGTCTCCTGCCTCTAACTCCCAAGTGCTAGGATTACAGATGTTCACTACCATACCTGGCACAAGCCAGAAGTTACAAATAATGCACTTTCAGAGATAAGAGGACAACTTGAGGGTCAGCTCTCTCTTCTTTCACTATGTGAGTCCCAGGGACTGGACTCGGGCTGGGTGACAAGTTATCTTAACCCATTGAACCATCTTTCCAGCCAAGCTACAAGCTCTTTAAAGATTCACTTGAGGGGCTGGAGAGATGGCTCAGAGGTTAAGAGCACCGACTGCTCTTCCAGAGGTCCTGAGTTCAATTCCCAGCAACCACATGGTGGCTCACAACCATCTGTAATGAGATCTGGCACCCTCTTCTGTATACATAATAAATAAATAAATCTTTTTAAAAAAAAAAGATACACTTGATTTTGAGACCTGTCCTACTATGTAGCCCATGGTGGCTTTAAACTCATGGCAGTCCTCCTGACTCATTTCTCTGAAACTGGATTCAGCAAATTTATGGCTAATGATATGCATCCAATCTATCTTCCATCATTTTAAGGCCTGCAAGTCAAAAAGATAGATATCCAAGTTCCCCCACAAAAGACTTTTTGCACTTCAAAATGGCTTGTAAAAATATCAAAGCATATTTTACAACAACTGCATGAAATCCATGTTTTTATGATGATTTTTATTGGGACATAAGGACTCTCAATTAAGAATAGACTTAGGCTGTTTTTTGGTATGACATCAGAGTAAAGCAGCCATAACAACATCGTAGTCTATAAAGCCTAAATATTTTCTCCCTGGCCCTTCATGGAAGTGTTTGATGACCCCTGCTGTAAACACTATAAAGAAAAGCATCATTTTTTTCTGCTTTTTATAAGCTTCCTGTACTAGAAACCAGCTTGCTAAGGAGGAAAACAATTCAAAATTCCTACCATTTGAAACAGTATAATTAGTCTTACATATTGATTGCATAAACTAATGGAACTCACTGTAGGATATGCATGCATGAATACTGAGTCCATCATGTCCATCCACCTTCCTTCTGCTCTGCATATCCTTCCTGGTATCCAGCAATCCTTCTATTTTCAGGTCCCACTTTTATTTATTTTTATTAACCAGTGGAGAGTGGTTTGGCTCAAAATGGCAAAAATGTCAAGGTTGAGAAACCTGTCTGGAGCTGCACTGTTGTAGTGTCCAGCTTTATTCACTCCGAGCTGGCGACTATGGGAACTGCTGAGTCCCAGTTATTTCCATGATGCTAAAGCAGCCTTGCACAGGGAGCACCCATGCAAGCTAGATCTTTACCAAAAACACTAAGACTGGAGTCAGCCATGAGAAGCACCTGGGAAATGTGATGATGACTCCAATTTTGTCGTTTTGTTGGATATATTCAAATGAAGTTAGAAAAGAGGTGATAAAAATGTGGAAAAAAATCGTTATTCCTGTGGTTTGGAAGTGGTTTGTCCCCTAAAGGATGATTAACAAAAGCATTAGCACGTTGTAGGACCTTTTAAGAGTGAGGCTCAATGAAGGTGATAAGCCACTGGAGGCCTGCTCTCCACAGGAGCCCTGCTCTCCACAGGAGCTTATGCTGCACTTGCAGAGTGGACTGTTGTTGTAAAGGAACAAGCCCAACCCCGATCTCTCTGGTCTGTCTTCTCCACATACACTCCTGCCATTGAGATGCTGTGTTCATGAAGCCCTGCCCAGATGCTGAACTGATGGGACTGTCCAAGCTTGTACTTTCAGCTTCCATACAGTAGCTTAAATATATTCTTTATAAGGTACATAGCCTTAGGCATTTCATTGCAGTAAAAGAATATAATCTGTTATGTTACAAGAAAATATGCATGTTAATTGAAACACTATTTAGAATAGCCAAGTTAGGCAACCAGCTGAGTGTTCATTCACTGATAAACAGATAATGAAAGTGTGGTGCTGTGGAATAATCCTCTTGTATACTGTAAAGATTTGTCACTCAAAGTGGTTTAATAAAATGATGATTAGCCAGTAGCCAGGCAAGAAGTTTAGGTGGTGCGGCCAAGCTAAGGATGATGGAAAGGAGAAGGGTGGAGAGAAGAGTCACCAACCAGATGCAGAGGGAGCAGGAGATGAATGTGCCATGCTAATAAAGGTACTGCCATGTGACAGAGCATAAATAAGGAATATGGGTTTATATAAAATGTAAGAGCTAGTTAGTAATAAGACTGAGCTATTGGCTGAGCATTTACAAGTAATATCAAGCCTGAGTCAATTATCTGGGAAGCAGCTGCCAGGTATTTGGGAACAGGCAGGCAGAAGAGAAACATCCAATTACAGTGTGCTATACATACACAATGGAGCTTTAGTAAGCCATAAAAAGAATGAAATTATGTAATTAGTAGGGAAATGGATGGAACAGGAGATCATCGACAAATAACCCTGTTCTAAATCATATCTAGATGTATATTTGTAAGCATAATATGTATATTCATAGTTATGTGTTATATATGACATGGAAGTACAAGACTGGGGAGAGAACTAGTTGGAGGGGAGAGGAGAAAATAAGGGAATAAATATGGTCGAAGTATACAGTGTACTCAAGTGAAAATGTGTTTACAAACCACAAATAAACTCTAGTCATACACATACACAATATATATATATAAATAGATGGAGCTAGATGGTTTAGTGAGTAAAGGCACACACTGTCCAGTCTGACTGATGGCCTGAGTTTGATCCCTGGATCTGCACAATTAATGAGACAGCAACCTCACAAATTGCCCTCTGACCTCCACATGCAAACTGTGGCACATACATGTTGTTGTCCATACCCCCCCCCCACAAAATAAACAAATGTAAAGCTCCATTTCTAAGAGAAATTGCAAAGCAATATTTTAAATATATAAGTAAAATTTATCAGTTTCTCTAAGTTTTAGCAAATTGAATGTAGACTATTCATGCATATTCATTGGAATATAGACTGCTTTCCTCCTAACTAAATCCAGATTTAAAAAATAATGTCAATAAAGGTATGACTATAAAGAGGTTGGTTGAACCAAGTAGATCTAGTCTTTGTAATCAAAGCCCTTGGAAGATGAGGAATGAGGATTTCCCTGAGGTTGAGGCCAGTCTGGGCTACAAAGTGAGTTCCACTGACCCTGGGCTACAGAGCGAATTTAAAAATTAAAAACAGAGACTAACAACAAAAAGTGCAAAAAAGTAGACTGAAGTAATGATGTTGATAGTAACTATTATTAGGACAGTTACATACAATTAACAAACTTCTACCACACACATTCAGAAAATAATTTCATGGCAATCCTATGGGCCATGTGGACTCATATCTGTTTTACAAATGAACTCCAGACTTACAGAGATGATAAGGATTTGTCCAAATTGATGCCATTACCGTAGCCATGGTTCATAATGATGCCTTACAATGAACCAGTTCACATGGCCTTTTGTGGACGATTCACAATACTATATGAGGTTTTTTTTTCCTCACAGGACTTTTTTTTTTTTTTTGGAGTTGATCAATTTAGGATGTCAAAGACAGAATACAGAGGGGGGCATAGGATCACTTTCCAGAAATGATATTTTATATGCACTTCTCATAAAATTATATGAAGTGAAAGGTATTAGATAAATTTCCTCTACTAGGTCTTTTTAAGTCTTCTGAATAATTCCAGCCATCTACTAGTAAAGGAGTGATATGCACAGACATACATAGGAACCCAGATACAGATTGCTGCTGTATTACTTGGCTCCCAGCCTATTAATTTTCGACTGTTGATGACTTCAGAGGGAGCTTTACTAAAAATAAACAGCTAAATAGTTATCTAGAAGCTGTTAATGTAGGCTGGTTAACATAGGCCAACAGACAGCATGCAGAGTTAAGTCGGTTGCAGAGTTTCCCACAGATACTTTACCTGTCCCCTGTAGTCTTCTTTCAGTCCTCCTAAAATGAGATCACAGTATGAATGACTGAGAATCTAATAAATCATCACAAATAAATTAAAATGGCAAAAACACTAGAGAAAATAATAGCCAGATTTTAACTAGTCTAAGATTGCCAATTACAAGAGGATGCTCAGCTCTTTCAACTCAGAAGACTTTCAATGTCCACACTCATTTAAGTGGAGGACACCCAGATGGCTGTTCTGGAACTCACTATGTAGATAGGCTGGCCTTGAACTCACAGAAATCTGCCTGCCCAGCTTATTCTTTTCTTACAGTGCTATCTTCACAGCAAGGCAGGTAAGTTTCACTGACGCACCAGAGCTCTTGACAGACTTTTTTAGAGACACAACACTGCTCCTGAAGTTCCCAGATCTTACCCTCTGTCTTCTTGACCTGTGACCTGCACAGATCCCCTTTCCTCAAGGCACTCAGTTCTGCCTGCCTGACTACTGCAGCGTGGAGTGGAGCAAGAGACAGAGTGGGTGGGTCAAGCTGGAGTTCTCTCTCTGGAGGGTGGTGAGAGGACACAGAACACTGGCATGCCACACTCTGCCTCTTCACATGTTGAAATGCGGCTGCTTTCCAAGGGCTCTTCAGCTGGCCATGCTGGCTGCCAGTGACTGACTGCTCTGTCATTTCGTCACTCTTTTTTTTTTTTTTTCTGAGACAGGGTTTCTCTGTGTAGCCCTGGCTATCCTGGAACTCACCCTGTAGACCAGGCCGGCCTTGAACTCAGAGATCCACCTGCCTCTGCCTCCCAAGTGCTGGGATTAAAGGCGTGCACCACCACCATCCTGGTACCTCTTTTAGGGAGTCTCTTACGTGGTTGCTTTTGTTACATATTTACTGTGTACATATGTACACTGCTTTGCTGCTAAATTGGACAAGAGCAAAATCACCTTCCCAGAGATTCTGAGAGTGAGACTACTTGAGTGTAAGCTCCAGGCTTACCACATATATGTCACATGAGAGTTTGCTAGAAACATGGACTCAAGGGTCCTATTCTAGACTACTAAATTAGAACCAACATTTTAACAGGCCCTCACATGTACCTGTATTTATTCAAACAATCATTAAGGGCTATCTTTTTTTTCATCAGATAATTCATCGTTTTCTATTCTATCAGCCACCAGCTGTCTTCCATTCACTAGAAAGGCTTAGGGTTTCTCATCATTAGTGTACAGAAACTCCTGAAATGACCACGCTTTCTCCTGAAATGACCACGCTTTCTGTTGTCCTCTGTGGGACCCGCGTTCCATTACCTTCTGCATCTGAGGCGGTGATCACTGAAGAGTCAGGGTGGGGGTTCCCCTCCTGCTCACTCCTTCTCTCCATTGCCCGTCTGCCGGATGGAAGGTTTTTAAGAGGAAAAAGGGATTCAGAAAGAAAAATATAAGGGTAGGTATGTTACAGAAAGAATTCTATACTCTAGTGCTCAGTATAGTGAACATATGAAATATTTTCAAGCTTCTGAATATTTAAAAACATAAATTTACAAAATTTCCTTGAGACCTTTCAGCAATTATATCACTTTAATATCATTATGTTAAAAAGAAAGTATCTTCATTTTCTAAAATATTATTATTATTTTAACAAGATCTCACTGTGTGGCCCTGACTGCAACTCACTCTGTAGACCAGGCTGGTCTTGAACACAAGAGATCCACCTGCCTCTGTTGGGATTAAAGGCAGATGCCACACAGCCAGCCCCAATCTTATTTTTAATGAGCTATTTTGGCAGTTCTGGAATGAAGGCCAGGATCCAATGCTTCCCAGGCAACACTCTACACTGAAGTACACACTAGCTCTTATTTTTTTGTATATTGGAAATATTCAACCCCAGTTCTGTTCTCTTGGCCTTCCTCCCTCTTACAGACCTTTCCCTCCTTACAGGCAGCCCCCCCCCCTGTACTTTCATATTTGGTTTTTGTTTTTAAAATCTAAGTTCCACATGAAATATTTGCCTTTCTGAGTCTGGCGTTTTCACTGAAGATTATGCTGTGCCATTTTCTTGTAACTGACATGATTTCATCCTTTATGGTGGGAAGCCACTTTCAGTTATCCTGCAATTAAATTTTTATGTCACTTGCATCCCTGCTCTTCCCTTCTCTAGGGCTCACCCGCCATGGTTTTTTACTTTCCCGGCTTCTGCTAATTACTCTGGGCTATAAACTCACATCTGAAGACTTGGAGCCAGGAACCACAGACAAGAGAGGACATGTGGTTTTTGTCTTTCCTAGTCTTGATTATATCACTCAACATGATCTTTTCTAGTTCCATCCATTTGCCTGCAAATATCATGATTTCATTTTTCTCTACAATTGAATAGTATTCTATTATGTATATGTACCACATCTTCATTATCCATTTGTTAGCTGAAGGACATTTTTGTTGTTTACATTCCGTAGATATTGTGAACAGAGCCACAGTGAATGGGTAGGATGTCAAGTCCTTTAGGCATTTGTCAAGGAGTGTTAGAGCTCGGTTGTATGATAGATTTATTTTAATTTTTTTGTGATTCTCCATATTGATTTTCTGAATGGCTGCACCAATTTGCATTTCCACCAACAGTAAATGAAGTTTCCCTTTCCCCCACCTGTTCCTCCAGCATTTGTTAGTTGTTTTGTTGGTCTTAGATGCTCTGACTGGGGTAAGACAAAGTCTCGGTTATTTAAGTTTGCCTTTCCCTAATTGCTAAGGATGATGAAGAGTATTTGAGGTATTTATTGGCCATTTTTGTGACTTCATTTGAGAGCTCTCTGTTCAGATCCATAGCCCACTGTTTAAATGTGTTGTTTGTTTTTTGACTCTGTTTTTTAGTTCTTTGTATATTCTGGATATTACTCCTCTATCAGATGAATGATCAGCAAAGATTCTCTCCCATTCTCCTCAAATAATTGATTGTTTCCTTTGCCGTGAAGAAGCCTTTTAGTTTTACGAGGCCCTACTTGTCAATTGTTGGCCTTGATTTCTGGACAAATGGAGTCCTGTTCAGAAAATCCTTTCCTGTAACTATATCTCACAGGGTACTGTCTGTTTTCTTCTAGTGGTTCAGGTTTCACATTGAGGTCCTCAGCCTGTTGCAGTGAGTTTTGTACAAGGTGATGGATAACAGGTCTAATTTCATTCTTCTGCAAGTGCACACTCACGTTTTCCCAGCACCTTTTGTTGAAGATGCTGCCTTTTCTCTAGTGCATGTTTTGTATCTCAACCAAATATCAGACACCTGTAGTCACATGCACTCACACCTGAGTCTTCTCTTTTGGTTTAGTGGTCTACATGTCTTTGGTGCCAGTACCATTTTTTTTATTACTATGGCTCTGTAATATATCTTAAAATCTGGAATGGTAATCACTCCCGTATTTTTCTTTTCTCAAGACTGCTTTGGCAATCCCAGGTCCTATCTGGTTCCAAGTAAATTTTAGGCTTTTTTTGTCTTTTTGTTTTTGTGAGAATGAGATAGACATTTTGATTGTGCTTACACTGAGTCTGCAAATGGCTTTTGGTGGAATGGTCATTTTTACAATATTAATTCTACCAACCCATGCTCATAGGTCTTTCCATCGTCTAGTGCCTTCCTCAATATCTTTCTTCAGAGATTTAAGATTTTCATTGTAGAGGTCTTGCACCTTCTTGGTTAGGTTTATCCCTACATATTTTTTTTCCTTTGAGGCTGGTGTGAATAGCAGTGTGTCCACCATCTCTTGCTCAGCGTGTTTGTGTATAGAAAAGCTACAGTTTCTTCTAATGTACATTGCTACATTGCTGAAATTGTTGGTTGCTGTGGGATGTTCTGTATGGCAAATGTGTTGCTCTGATTGGTCAATAAATAAAACACTGATTGGCCAGTGGCTAGGCAGGAAGTACAGTCGGGACTAACAGAGAGGAGAAAAGAAAAAACAGGAAGGCAGAAGGAGTCACTGCCAGCCGCCACCAGGACAAGCAGCATGTGAAGATGCCGGTAAGCCACGAGCCACATGGCAAGGTATAGATTTATGGAAATGGATTAATTTAAGCTATAAGAACGGTTAGCAAGAAGCCTGCCATGGCCATATAGTTTGTAAGCAATATAAGTCTCTGTGTTTACTTGGTTGGGTCTGAGTGGCTGTGGGACTGGTGGGTGAGAGAGATTTGCCCTGACTGTGGGCCAGGCAGGAAAACTCTAGCTACAGTTGGTTGTTCCCAGTTTTCTGGTGGAACTGTAGGGATCTCTTGGGGATAACATCCTATCATCTGCAAATGGGTAGTCTGCCTTCTTTTCGTATTTGTAGCTCTTTAATTCCCTTGTGTTATTGCTATAGTTTGTGCTTCAAGCACTATATTGAAAAGAAATGGGATACTGGACAATCCTGTCTCATTCCAGACTTTTTTTTTTTTTTTTTTGGTTTTTCGAGACAGGGTTTCTCTGTGTAGCTTTGCGCCTTTCTTGGAACTCACTTGGTAGTCCAGGCTGGCCTCGAACTCACAGAGATCCGCCTGCCTCTGCCTCCCGAGTGCTGGGATTAAAGGCGTGCGCCACCACCGCCCGGCTTCATTCCAGACTTTTAATAGGCTCACTTTGTGTTTTTCTCCACTTAGGATAACAGTGGCTGTGTCTGTCATATACCATATACAGGCTTTATTGTGTTGGAGTATGCTACCTCCAGTCCTACTCCCTTTAGGGCTTTTATCATAAAGTGTTGGATTACGTCAAATGTTTTTTCTGCATCAATTAAGTCTATTTGTATAATTTCTTATATTTATTGACTTATTTATTTTGAACCATCCCTGAATCTCTGGGATAAAGCCAACTTGGTCATGATCTTTTGATATGTGCCTGTACATGGTTTGCAAATATTTTATTGAGGATTTCTGCATCTAGATGTCTTAGTTGCTAATTTTATTGCTGTGATAAAACACCATGATCCAAATCCCCTTTTCTTATGGCATCCAGGACCATGGGCCGAGGGATGGCACTGTCTACAGTGAGCTGGGCCCTGCTCTATCAATCATCAATCAAGGAAATGCACAACAGGCTTGTCCACAGGCCGATCTGGTGGGTACTCTCTCAGCTGAGGTTCTCTCCTTCCAAATGACTTTGGCCTTGTGTCAACTGACATAAAAACTAGCCATCACATATGTTCATCAGGGATAGTGGCTCTGTTCTGGTTAGTTGAGCCAAGGATCTGTCATTCTTGTTTATTTCCTCAAAGAACCAGCTCTTACATTTGTTGATTATTTGAATTGTTTCTATTTCATTAATTTCTCCTCTTATTTTTATTATCTTTTGCTGTTTACTGGGTTTGATTTGTTCTTGTTTTTCCAAATCCTTGAATTGTATCAAAAACAATTTATTTGTGCTCTTCTGATTTTTTAATGAAGGTTCTTAAGAGTTATAAATTTCCCACATAGGACTTTTTAAATATATTGCCAAGTTTTTGTTATGTTGCATTTAAATTTCTGTTATTTCCAGGATTAAAAAAAAACAAAGCAAAACACTGTCTTGATTCTTCTTGACCCATTCATTATTCAATGAGTTGGTCAATCTCCATGAGTTTGTGTACTTACTAGAGATTTGTTTGCTATTGATTTTAAGTTTTACTGCATTACGGTCAAATCATGGTCTATTTTTCTGTTAAGGTTTTTGTGTTCTAGGATGTGGTTTATTTTAGAGATGGTTCCGTGGTCTCCTGAATAGAATTGATAGTGTTTGGTGTTTGGGTGGGATATTCTGTAGATATTTGTTAAGTCTTTTTGATGTCTGATGTCAGTTAATTCTGATGTTTCTATTTTTGTTTTTGTTTTGTTGTTGTTATTTTGTTTTTTTTCCGGACAACCTGTCTACTGGAGGAAATGGTGTATTGAAGTCACCTACTATCATTGGGTTGGTGGTAATCTACATCTTTAATGCCAGCCATACCTTTCAAATAGACTTGGGTGCAGCAGTTTGGTGCAGACATGCTTAGGACTTCTAAGGTCTTTTTGATTTCTCGTTCTCTTGATTAGGACTGAGTGTCCTTTATCTCTTTTGATTAGTTTCTGTTTGAAGTTTATTTTTGTCAGATTGTTAGGATAGCAATGTCTGTTTGCTTTCTGGTCTCATTTTACTGCAGTAGTTTTTTTCCATCCTTTCACTCTAAGGTGGTGTCCACTTTTGCTTGTTTATTTATTTTACATCCCACCTGCAGTTTCTCCTCCCCGTCCCTCCCATCTCCCAATCCATTCCTCCTCCATTTCTCTTCAGAAAAGGGCAGTACTTCCATGGATATCAGCCAGCTATGGTCTATCAAGTTGCAGTGAGACTAGGCACCTCCTTTCCTATTAAGACTGGAAGAGGCAATCCAGTAGGAGAAATGGATCCCAA